ATTGATTAAAAAAGTTAGAACAGCGTCATTCCAGGTGAAGTCTTTAGATTTTAGTTCATCAAGTATAAATGACAAACTCAAAAACTTATGGGAAATACAAAAGTACAAGATGATCATTATAACAGTTATTTCTTTTACACACCTCACGAAGAACTCAGCCCATTGTTGAGCGGTATGAGAAGACACATGCTCAAAGTTATGTTGGTGACGTTTCTCTCTTTCTTCAGCAGGCATAATCAAAGCTTGTTCTATTGCAGCAGCAACTTCTGTGACATTCCAAGGATTTACTAGAATTGCCCCAGCACCAAGAGACTGTGCTGCTCCAGCAAACTACAAGTGTTCCAAAGGATTCATCTCATTGTGGAAGCACAAAAAATATACAAAAACAAAAAACTCAATAAGACAGATTGGTTCGACAAATCAGAAGGTTGAGGATAATCAATGTACAGAAATAGGGCATGAAACAAAATACCCACCAGAAAAGGAAATGGATAAAACCATTTCGAGGGTACAAATTATGTTAATCATCTAATGCAGAAAGGTAGAACACAAAATTGATGTGATTCTTTGCTCCTTTCAAAGAACCAAAATGAAAACAAATGTCATATTGAGTACTGAGCTTTTTTTTTTTTTTTTTTTTGATAGGTGAGTACTGAGCTTTTTCAAATCAAATTACCTGTTCACATGCTTATTTGCAGCAGTAAAAAGAGAATTACATATAATTGCTGGCTAAGAAGCACCGATACTTGTAAACTTGTCACATACCCGTATCCGATACGTCAATACTCTCCGATACCCTTCGATACGTACCGGATACTTGTTTTTTAATTATTTTATATATTTTTATATTTTTTACGTATCCCATACATATTTTTTAATTATTTTATATTTTTTGTATGATTTTTGATACATATTCGATACTTCATTATTAACATGCACCTTTACTAAAAAATACTGTTTTGAAACTTCTTGTGCAACCTTCTTCTTAATCTAGTGCCATATTCTTTTGTACACTCTACAAGAAGGAATAAAATAAATCTACAATGATTTGAAGAATTGGTTTTCATTCATAGCAATTTGCGTCTTTTATAAAAAAAATTATATCTCTATTCAAAAGGAGAATCCAAAATGTGGGATATTATTGGAAACTCTTTTGATACTCTTGAAGGTGTTAGACTGCTTAAGGTTGCTAATCTATCATTAGATGAGTCAGAGTTAAAGATTGTTATTTTTAATAATAATGAAGAAATTGTTGTTGATGTTGAAGGAAATGAAGTTTCTACAATTAACGATTAAGATAAAGTGCTTTGGTATTATACTTATTTTGATTATCATGCTTCTGTATTAATTTTTTTTTAAATTAATAAATTTATGTTGAATTTTATAACACATATTGGTGCATCCTAAGTTTTTAAAAAAAGTCATATCAGTGTATCCGTATCGTATCGTACCCGAATTATGAATCCGTATCCGTGCTTCTTAGATTGCTGGTACAAACTAGAAAGGATAGTGCTAATCATTATGTGTCAATAAAAGCTGGATGCAAATAAAAATGTAAGAGTATGATATTATACTTCACTGAGGATGAGAACTCCTTTTTTGGAATCTTGACATGCCACAAACTCATAGCTGACGAGATTCATCCCATCCCGTAGAGACGTAACTAGTGCTACATCTGATAAATCAAGTCAAATGTTGAAATTATCACCCGTTACTTAAATTCGATTTGAGGATAACAAAAAGTGAAGTGGTCAGAAAATATATATAGTCACATTTTAATTTTTGAATGGTAATGTGATGTATAAAACATTGTTAAACAAATGATGCAAGTTTGGAATCTGAGATTCCAAGGAACTTGAGTCAACACTCTTAAATATGAATTTGTAACTGATAAAAGACAGTCAAAATCTGAATTGAGCTCTTTTCTGCTTCCAACTTGAATAGGCCTCAACAT